AGACAGACCCCCAGGACTCCCACGCCCATCCAACCACTCCCTGCCCCCTGACAACCCCCCCAGAACCTCCAACCCATCTAACCCCCCCTACTCCCTGTCTCTTGACTGCCCCCTCCAGAACCCCCCGTCCCTTCTCCAACCTCCTGGCTCCCTTACCGTGCCGCTCCACAGCACACTCCAGGGGGCATCTGGACACAGCCACAACTGGCTCAGAGGGCCTGGGGGTGGGGAGACTTCAGAAGACATTAATGGGCGGGACCCCGCAAGGCCTCTAACCATCATCTGTCTGGGGCTTTGTTTTTTTAAATCTTCCCCAAAATCTATCCCCAAGCGCCCAGCACCAGGCTGGGCACGACTACCACTGCCAGGCATCCTTTCCATCGGTCAAGTACCCCGCAGTCACCCTTCCCCTGCCCCCGCTCCGTTCCAGCGAGGGCATGACCAGCGCCCCGCGAGGAAACGGACACCTGGGCTCCAGACAGGAGCTAAACTCTCTGTTTTCCCTGCTGCGGGGTGGTTCTCTCCCCCCTGCAAAAGCAGGTTAGAACAGCCGTGCCCCGGCTCTCCCCAGGGAGCGGCACGCTGGGCAGCAGGGGAGGAGGAGGAGGGAGGAGCTCTAGAGCTGCCGGAGGCTGCCGGAGGCCGCCTGGCCAGTGATTTGAAGCTGCTGGGGAGAGGAGGGGGGAAGGGGAGGAGAGGCTCTGACTGCTAGAGCTCCACGCTAGTGGCTCAATCCAGCCGGCCGCCCTATCACCCACGCCGTGCTCTGCGGGGGGTGGGGAAGGCCGGAGAATGCTGGACATTTTAAGATATTTACAAATTCCCCCCCGGACGCTATTTTTAACCTAAAAAGCCAGACATGTCCGGGAGAATCCGGACGAATGGTAACCCTACCATTGAACTCAGTGGGACTGGTTCTCCATTGCCCTGCACTTTGTGTAGTCACTTACACCAATGCAAAGTGAGTGTAAATCAAAATAGTAGTGTTTTACTTCCACTTTGCACTCACTTTTCACTGGTTCAAATGACGATGCAAAGTGCAGGACAACAGAAAATCAGGTCCATTGAGTTTAATGGGTGTTGGATCAGGCCCAGAGAGGCGGGATGAAAATGTAAGTTATCAGTTTTCCTAGGATCGGCCAGCCTGGCTTGTCTGATCTGTGTCTGATTTTGAGAGCCTGATCCTGCAAACGTTTGCACTCGTGATGGCAGCGTGGTCCAGTGGGGTGGCCAAACTTACTCACCCTCCAACTATCTTTAGAAGTTTGAGAGCCGGGGCGCATTTACCGGAGCTTGGGGCTTCAGCACTGCAGGGTGAGCCTGCTAGGGCTTGGGGCTTCAGCCCTGAGCTCCCACTCCCTGCTAGGCAGAAGCCCCTAGCCCTACCATGCTGCCGCAGGACAGAAGTTCCGAGTTCCCCCCACAGTCTGGTAGGTGGAGAATGGGGGCCGGTGGGGGCTCCATGGGCCGCACTTCAACTGTAAAAGAGTTGGCTCGCGAGCTGTGGTTTGGCGACTCCTGGACTAGAGACTGGAAGTTGGGAGACCTGGATTCTCTTCCCGGTTCTGCCACAGGCCCGCTGGATGATCTTGGGCCAGTTGCTTTTGTCGCTCTCTGTGTTCTCCCATCCATTACCTGTCTTGTATATTTATGCAGTAAACTTTTCAAGACAGGGATTGTCTCTTACTTTGCATTTATGCAGTGCCTAGCACCGTGAGGCTCTGATTTCAGTTGGGGCCTGTAGGTGCTGCCATAATACGAAGAGAGTTTGACTGCTAGCTCCTCAGATCAGGAAGTGTCATTTATTTATGACTTGTGCAGCAGCAAGACCTCATCAGTACAGTCACCCCAGCCAGATGGGTGGCAAAGAGAGTGGATGCAGCAGTGCGGGGAACCTGGAAAGTAGTGCAAAAATGAGGTGGCTGAAAGACTTTCCAAGGGGCACAGGGTGGAGAAGCTGGAATTTTTGTCTGTTATAACCCTTGTTTGGGGGAATTGGTGGGATTTTTAGACCCAAGAGGGCAGTGAAAATAAAGACAGTATTATTTATGGAGCGGTAGGTTAAATTTTGGGTCTATCTGCCTTGATCATGACTCTTTAATGAAAATAGTAGGTAGCTCATGTATTTGATTGGCAGCTGCAGTGGACTAATTCAAAATCTGTTCAACATGAAAATAAGTGACTTTTAAACTCCCAACCATCACAAAACAGCTTGTTCTGGTATCAGAGAGAGCCCAAAGGAGACAGCGACATTGCTTGACTATTATTTCCTTTCTTCCAGTATCCGGGATTTGCTGAGGTTTAAGGAAGAAGTAACAAAGGAGCGAGACCAGCTCTTGTCAGAGGTTGTGAAGTTACGTGAAAATCTAATCCAAGCTACAGAGCAACAGCAAGAAACAGAGAGGGCAAAAAATGAGGCGGAACAAAGCATTGCTCAGGTCAGTGCAGCTCACCAGGTTGCAGTAGTCGTCTTTGTCCTGAACCATTACCCACCTTTGTAATTGATCGCCATTAACTACTGTGCTGCTACCGGTCATTTCACATCCCAGACCTTTTCAGGAGGCTCAGTGAGGAGTTCATCATCAGTGCTTTAAATCCTTTGCCTTATTTCTCTGCTATTTTCTTTGCAAAGCAGTTTGTCAACTATTGACTCCTTCCAGAGTTGCCAAATCTCCTGCATTTGAAGGCGATATCTAAATCATAGTTTCCTCTCGCTTTGAGGCTGTCCCCTCCTCCATTTGAAGCTTCCGTGTCTGCAGGAGGTTTCCTATCCTTGAGGGTTATCATACTGTGAATATGTTTCTCTTACTACAGAAGCCTGCTGGAGGTGTAGAAGGCTGAGAATATGTAAGGGGACATGTAAAGGGGGAGAGAGCAAGAGGCCAGGGGATAGTGGGAGGCTCCCATACGCAGAAAGGAGAAATTCCATAGGGGAAGGAGAGGTGAAAGAAAATAATATGAGTGTGATTTGGAGGGGAGAAAGACACAGCAGAAGGAAGAGGAGGCAAGAAGGAGAGACCTGAAATCAAGAGTGGAAAAACAAAGAGAGGTGGATATATCCTTCTAGCTAGCACCAGGGCTTCTTGTCAGGCACAAACAGTAAAGCAGGCCTGGGGTCATGCTCTGCACTGCCATGTGGGACACCTGGATTCCATATCAAGTCCTGGTTTCTCACTTCCTGAGCAGAGAGTAGAGGATATCAAGCAGGGGAAAACATTTTCAGACATTTACTGGGGAAGACCTTCCCCAGCCCTTAGACTTACAAGTATGTTTTACTCTTCATGGAATCAGATCACATTGTTTCTCTGCTCTCACCATAGTCACAGTCCACTTTCTGCAACCTGCCCTGGGGCCCTTCAGTGGGATCATCCAAAGGAAGTGGGTCCCGGAAGCCCATCACTTCTGGCAACCTTTTATCTAGACTCTAGCAAGTCCAAATCATGTGTTCCTGGGCCACGCATTACCTCTGAGGCACAGAGCCATGAAATCTGAAATTAGAGTAGCCCTGGCTCAACAAGTAGACCATTGGATCTGCTAGGTCGCATGATGAGATCTTCATGGGATGGCAGTGGTCATTGGGAAGAGGAGCTGTTGTCTACTGTTGTCTACCTTAAGCAGGGAGAGAACCCAGGTCTGTGAAGGCTATTAGGAGGGAGTGGTCTGTGAGCTTATCGAAGGGAGGGAAACATTGGAGGACTAGGGACGGGCCACAGAGAGGGAGGGGAGAATCAGTGGAAGGAACCTTAAAAAGCTGGGATGCTTAACAGAACCAGAGAGCCAAACTTTTTGCTCATTGGTCATCATCACTGATAGGTTGTGTGCCGTGGAGCGTGCTTTGGCCCTTCCAGAAACTGAGCTACAACCCTGAGACAGAGGGCTCCATCCTTAGGTCGTGGTTGGCACAGCTGAAGGGGCAGGCAGTGGTGGCTTTGGTTCAGGTGGAGCTGCACAGGACTGTTCTATTCTGTGCTGGTCAGAATGGTCCATGGTGGACCAGCCCTCCTGACTCTTCCCTGTCCCCTGCTGGCTCTGAGGGGTGCTGGGCCAGGGAGGCGGAAGATAGTTGACACCATTATAGTCTGTTAAGTGAGGGGCTTTTCCTTTTAAAAGATTCTATAGAGAGGCAGGGAGTAAGCGCAGATGTTGCAACGAATGTTGCCTTGGTGATCGGGCTTCCCCCTCCATCTTTACTGTTTACTTGTGTGTAATAAATGTTTATAAAATGGCTTGTTTGGTGAGGTACAATAAGTAAAACCATTGCCCTGGCAACATAGCTTGGAGCCCAAGTTAGTGTTGTGACTGCTAAACCAAGGATCAGCTGGGGTAACTTACAAATGAAAACATCCGAAGAGCCCCATTGGATCCCTACTGGAATGTTCTTGCTGTTAGTCCTCAGGGTCAAAACCATGGCGTTTGGGTGGCAGGTACTCCCAGCTGCTGTGGGTATCCTCTGCTCTGTTGAATCCATCAGAGCCTTCTGGCTGGATTCTTTTAGGGTATGGTGATTGATGACTAAGAAATCCTTGTAATTAATAATTTGAGCCCATCATCTGGGGTTCCAAAACATAGCTCTCCTAAGAGAGGAGCCTGTTTACCTCTGAGCAGTTCTTCCATATTCCATCCAGGGGAAGGCAGTATTAAACAAAAGCCACTGGGTCTCAAAGGTAAGCACAATAAGAATAAAGGGAAACTGTACTTGATTTGTTTGAATAAAAGACAGGCAAGGCCCTAACTTCTTTCTTTCCTCTGTCACTGTGTGACGGCAGTTCCAGCAGGAAATCCAGATGCGTCAGAATGAGGCATCCCGGGAGTCTCGAAAGAAGGACAAACTGGAGAAGGAGCTTAAACACATTCAAGTGGAAATGGACAACAAGCAGAGTGAAATAAAGGCACTGCAGCAGCATGTGCTGAAGAACAAAGAGGAGCTCCTAAAACTGGAACAGCAGCTCAAGGAACAGAAGGTACAGTAGGTGATTCTGTTATCTCCAACACAAACTGGTAATAGTATCAGGGTCAGATGTCAGACACAGAGGAAATTAGATTGCTCTTTTAGCATTTTCATAATAGAAGGAGGGATGGAGAAGACCCATTAGATCATCAAGATGATTTCTCTGTCACTGGAGGGGCTATATCATACTAAACAGAAGCCCCCATTGAAATCAACAAGGAGTAGTGCCTAAAGATTTGTGGCAAGAAATGGCCTGAGGATCATTATGTATGGTAAAAGGAGACTTTCTATACTCTGGCCAGAATGCAGATATGTTCTGCTTCAATCATGTTAGTATATTAGGCTGGTATTTACATTGGAACCTAAAGGATTTAGGTGCCCAAATGCAAATAAAATTCACTGGAATGAGAGTGCCCAAATCCCTTAGGCTGTGTTGAAAATATCAGTCTTGATGTTTAAATCCTAATTAAAATAGTAATGCATGACAGTCCAGTATTATCCTTTTCTTATGGACAAGTTATTTTTTTCACTCTTAAAGGCGTTTGGTTTTCCACCTGGTTGATGACGATTTTTAGGACTCTTCTTGCAAAGACCACAGTGACTGGGACCAAATATCCCAAAGCTGGTGTGATTTAGTGGTCAGAGCAGCAGACTGGCAGTCTGGACTCAGATTATATTCCCAGTTCTGCAAAAGACTTGCTGTGTTGTGTTGGGAAACCTCTGTGCTTTGGTTTCCCCATCGGAAAACTGGGAAAAATTACACTTACCTACGGCTCAAATTTACTGTGAAGTTTAGCTAATGAATGTTTGTATAAACATTATAAAACTCTCTAGAGAAGTGTGAAGTATTATCTTAAGTCTTTTTATTTTTTTAACCAAGTACTGTTTTCAAACCGGTTTCTGGCAAAGTCCTAAAGCAGTGTTTTGCTACTAGTTTGTATCGTTCATCTATTTCCCATGACTCTGAGAAGCGCCCACAGAAGCAATTTCAGTAAATAGCATAAGAGATCTAATAATTATAAAGCAATGTTTCCTCAAGGGAAAGTTTTGGAGGAGTTGTGTGTGTCTTATAAATTTATGGTTCTATCGTCCCCTCAGGTCTAAGAGTCAGTGTGGGTAGAAGTCTTTGTCAATGTTTTTGTTAATTCAGTATAAAGTCTAAATAAAACACAATTCACATGAATAGTTGAAGGGAAAACTCGATTATTTCTCAGAACAGGATAGGGTCTGGCGCAGCCCTGGAGAACAGTTCCAGGATCCACCAAACCCAGTCCAAGGTTTATTAGCTCAGATATCCCCAAGAGGCCCTTATTACACACTGCAACATGCTCTGTCATACCCTTCTCTAATGCTTTCTCATCACTTCCGTACTCTTTCCATGGTTTCTTAGCCCAGGATTTAGGGAGAGCAGGGGGTTGGACTAGATGACCTCCTGAGGTCTCTTCCAACCCTAATCTTCTGTGATTCTATGACCCTATGTCAGAGAACCACAGCAGCTCCAATAAAGAATCCCTTTCATAGTCATTACAACTGAGTTCTGGCTCTTCTATGCTGCAGAAGCCACTATGCTCACCTCCCATATCTCTCTGTGCTCCCAGCACTCAATGGGGGTGGGAAATTCTCCACACACCCTTTTTTTTAAACAGCACGGTACATATTGATCTGCCACACATAGATGCTTGAACCGAAAAATATGATGATAGTTCTTTCCTCACTTATAAAGTAATGTCTGCCAGGGGAAGTCCCATCAAGCAGAAGAAAAGTCTGGCAGCTCCAATATCGAAATATATATTCTCCGTATAAACCATGAAACTGCTGTTCTGGGCTTTTGATTGAAGACAGATTAAAGGGGAAAAATAGCTGTGCCCTGATGTCAGCAAACTGCGCACTCCAGGAAGTGTTATAGGCATATTAATGTAGGATTTGCTTGCTAAAATAGAGCTCCCCTGCCCCTCAGATGATTAAAATTATTTGAATCTCATACTCATTTGCAATGATTGTAGCGAGTTGCTGGGTATGTGATGCCTGCCAAATGGCAAAGAGGCATTAAAATATTTATCCACCACCTGTGAGGGAGACTTGCAAAGCTCCCAGAGAAAATGATGCTGGCTACGTGGTCATTTTTCCCAGCCGTTGAACATTTATCATATTTCTGGGCACATTCATAATTTCATCAGGGATAAAGAACAATTTCTATCAAGAGAAAAATCTTCAGTAGCTCTGATCCCCCAGGGCGATTCAAGGTGCTGCCAGTCTGTCTATGTAGATACATTAGAATTAGATTGAAAAGAATTATCTGGATTGTTTCATAATCTAACAGATCCTGAATGAAAGAGCTGCCAAAGAACTTGAGCAATTTCAGACGAGAAACTCTAAACTCCAGCAAGAGAACGAGCAGCACAGCATGGCCTTTGAACAAATAACACAGGAGAACCAGCAGAAAACAGTGGAGCTGAAAGTAAGTACCAGCTCATATTTGCATGACATCAGACATATCCCTCTGCTGTCGGGAATTTGATGCTGGTGATTCAGTAGATGACATTCTTCCCTCTGAGTCAGTACTATACCAGCATCCCAGTCTAGTACCAGATCATACTGTGCTGTTTCAGATGAGACATAAAACGGAGGTCCTGATTACTTGTGATCATTAAGGACCTCATGATATTTTTCACAAAGGCAAAGGCTTTTTTTAGATTGTAAGCCCTTTGGGGGAGAGGCTGTGCCTGCCTTTATGTTCGTATAGTGATTAGCATATTGTGAGTGCTGCTGGAAGCCAATAATATATAGGAATAATAACTGTCCCAGCCAACTTCCAGTGTAGGTAACTACATCCTGCCTTCTTAAATTTCCTCTTTGGCATCAATTGGGGAAGTTAAATACAAATCAGTATGGTGTTGTTTGCTTGCTGACCTAAACCGTTATCTTGTGTTGCTGTGCACTGTTAAAAAGCTGTTTTGCACCACTCCAGAGGTAGCTGCATTTCATCAGTGGGCAAAGTGACTGCTACATACGGTTTTTAAAGCATTTCAAGAGCTTTTGGGAATGAAAGGCACTGTAGATATTATTACTATATGTCTGCTGAATCTGACCTCCCCCAGCCAAGAGCGTGGCTGCAGTTACAACACTGGCTATATTAGAAAACAGGACAGAAAAGGAATAGGTGATCAAACTTTAGTAAAGTACAACTCATTCAGCTAATTAAAAGAGGTCAGTTGCTGATAAGAAGCTTTCTTGCAGTGGGCAGTATTGGTTAAAACAATGAAAACAAACGACAACAGACATGTTAGAAGATCTGTCCAGAGCTACTGTAACATAAAGATCCTGTTCTGGAACCCCGGTGAGATTTCACGGTAGGAGTTTGTTTTTCTGTTGTATTGCTGCGCAGATTGGAAGGGCACTTTTATTACCTATTGAAAAAACAGATTACTCTGCCCGGTTAGCTAGCATAATTGTTATTCCCAGCAGTATCATCTTTGCATAAAATGTAACAAACAATGTGTTCAAATGGGAACTGAGTACAAGATTCAAGGTGGGTGCAAAGGCAGATAGTAGCCGTGTAAGGGCCTGATCCTCACTTCAGTGGAAGTTGGAGCTCAACACTTCATCGGATTATGAGCACAGATTTCTGAAAATTCATTGTTAAGGTGCTGTCCAGTTATTATTTATTTGTATTGCGGTAGCTTGTGGGTGCCCTAGTCATGGGCCATGACCCCATTATGGTAGGTGCTGTAGGTGGGGCCTGATCCTGCAGTGTGTAGACACCTCTGGCATTGTACTAAGCACCTCTAGCACCGAGTGATGGAAATGTTTGCAAATTTCTTGAAGTGTGCCCAAGTCCTGCTGACAGTTCCTCACAGGAGGTATTTGCATCTCACAGGATTAGGTCCCTAGCAGTGACTGATTCTATGAATGGGGCAGTGCACACTGTGATGTGGAAGGCTTAAAATGTGATGGCGTTGCTGCAACTGCAGGGCAATTGTATATTTGTTTCTTAGTAGGTGTGGGGATTATTTCTGATGTATTGATTGGCTGCAGTCACCAGTGCAGTGATCACTACTGGCAACATTTTAGTGCAGTGTCTTGGATCAATAGTTTCATGTCCTGATTCCATAACGTGATGTGGACTCAAAGATTTGGTTTTTAAAGCTGTAGATTAACAGTTTCCTGCTTTTAGGGATGTAGAATCAGATCAGACCATCAGTCACCAGTAGCTGATGTTTCACTGAAAGGCAAGGCTACTCAGACCTAATCCATTGAACCAGTTGTGCAGTGCTGTGCATGGACTGCAGCTGGGAATTCTTTATTGATCTCTCTTATGCCCTGAAGCATGAGATTTGATTACCTTTCTCCTTGCCTCAGCTGGCTTTGTTTAAATTATTTTAATAGTGGTGCCATTCTCCAGTCTTTTTCTAAATCCAGCCACAGCATTTATCTTAGTGGCCTCCTGTGCCACGGAGTCCTGTAAAGAAACTATATGCTAAGCAAAGAAGCATTTCCTTTTGCTGATTCTAAATGGATTGTCCTTCTCACCCGCTCTCCCTTCTGTTTCTACACAGATGAGGGAGGATGAGGTGACTCAGATGCGTCATGAAATTACAAAACTCTCCAAGGTAAGAGAAGTTATCCAGAGAAAACTGCGTGTTGCAGAGGAACAAAAAGTTGAAGCAGAATACCAGAGGGATACCCTAAAAAACCAAATCTCTGGACTAGAGAGAGGTAGGAATCAAAGCACTGTTGTGTTGCCACTGTTGTGTTGTGTTGGCACTGTTGTGTTGTTTGTTATAATGTTCATTTGGTGTATGCTCCAAGTCAAGCTCATGCCTCTTCGGTGCCCCGTATGGGACCATATGAAAGGGACCTGCATAGCACTATGGCTGTAATGCCTCTCCTAGGTCTTTGGAATTTTCACACAGTGCAGCATGTGCTGGGTGAAAATATAAAGGGCCTGATCTGCAGCAGGTGTAACCCTTCCCACCCCAGGAAATACCCTCCCGGTGTGTGTCTCTGTGCCAGTCTGTATTGCCGGTGCACCAGCCCCTGATGCAGAGGGATGATTGGAAGAAGGCACAAGCAGGGCATTCTTTTGCCCCAGCAGTTTTGTGCCCCTACAATGATACCAGTACAGAGATGACTCTAGCACAATGTACTAATAGATTGAATTATAGCGAAGTGCTGAAATATAAAGCCCCATTCTGCTATATACCTAGTGTGGACATGTTGCCTCAGTAAAAGCTTCCCTGTGCGCTGCCTAGTCTGTAGGTTGTATACTGAACTGACTGCACATATGGGACATGAAGTATTTTATATGACTTTATGTATGGGACATGCTGTCTTTCATATTCATATCTCCATAATTGGAAAAGGTCAGGGTCTCTCTCGAAGAGAACAGCCATTCTGCTGTTGCTTCATCAGATCGGGCCTCATGCTGGGGTGAAAAGGAAGACACAGGAAATGCAGCTCTGTCTTTGAATGGGTGAGAAAGGCAACAGATAACGCACCTCCTGGCAACTTTGATTGTTCTCATGCATTCCTGTGCATTGTGTTGCCTGCAGCTCAGCCTTCCCGATATCAGCATGTCAGTTTCTCCTTCAGATGCATATTTCCTCTTACTTATTTTGTTAGTGATTTATTCTTCTGTGTATTTGGATGAAGGGCCAAATCTAGATTGCCTTCAGTGGGAGCAGCTCCAGTGAAGCCAATGGAGTTATGCCCTTTTATGCCAGGCCTGGATTTGACCAAGAGGGATTAAAACAACTCTATAAATCTAAATCCAGTATGTTCAAAAGGAACTAGTGATTTCAAGTTGAAAGGTTTTTTAGTGATTTCAAGAGACTCACCATTTGGATGCCAAGCTTGAGATGTCTTTAAATGACCTGATTTTCAGAGTGCACAGCATTTTCTGAAAATCCAGCTCCTTCACGGTGTCTCAAGTTAAAATCAGAGGCATCCAAAATCACTCGTCCCTTTTGAAAATCTTGGCCTAATGCTCCGCTAGTGCCTAAATATGGATTAATTTCCCTAAATTTAGGCACCTGAATTTGCAAATCGAGGTCATAAATTATATCTCCATTTATATAATATTAATAAAGCTTTTTGAAAAGTTCACAGACCTTTGTTTTTTCCAGCTACGCAATTTGAACCCAGAGTTTAATAATCTTTTTCTTGCTTTTAGAGTTGGAGATTGCTAAAAGACAGGTAGAAATTGATAAGAAAGCCATAGATGAGCTGGTGAGAGAAAGGGACATATTAAACAAGGTGAGCTTGCTTTGCTAACACTGGTAAACAAATATCTTGCCTTGAATATGAGATGTCTGTAGCTTAAACCATGCTCTCCCACTTTCTATGAATTGAAACAACATTATACCTGTGAACACAAAAGGGACTTCTCAGTATTAGCATATAAAACAGCAGGGGGCTGTAAGTGTTATGTGCATTTGCCTTTATTGCAAACGTGTTATTTGATATTCTAAGCAGTTGATTACTCCTCTGCTTGTAGTATCTACAACATATTGAGTTTAATGTTAATCTAGTCAAATTAGGGCTGTGCTAATAAAAAGCACACCATCTGTCTGCATCACAGCCTTGTCTGTTTTTAACCCTGATCTCTCCTGCCACCATTTAGATTCATTTCTCATGCTGACCATTTTTCATGTGTCCAGGGTTCTTATACCAGGCAATAATATCTTGTGCTGATTGGTATTTCCGAAACTGAGTTTGGTAGATTTGACTCTATAATGTGATTCTTTAAGTTCCTCACTTGGTTGAGAATCAAACATTGTTCTGCATCCTGAATGAGTCTATTACGGGGTCACCTTTTGAAGAAGGTGAAAAACGGATTCTTTAGTTTTGAAGGATTTTTTAAAGCGAGGTTAGAAAAGTAACTTGATTAAACTGAGATATTGGTGTCCTGTTTATTCTCCTTCTGTGACTTGTAGGCCAACCTTGCTCAGTTTACAAGTTCAACCTAGTTACTAGAAAATGAGACTGGAAGGTGTTCCCCACTGCCTTCATTATCCCCCCTCCATTCCTTCTGTAATGCAAACATCAGTATCCCAACTTCCAATTCAAAAATACGGCCTCATTCTAGGGCTCTCTAGCAGGACTGGGAGCTCACGGGTCCTGCAGTACCTGCTGCTATAATAGTGGGAGCGGGTAAAATGTACTTTGTTGAGGCCAATACTGTGTGGGCAAAAAACCCCAAACTGCAGTAATTTGCGGGAAAAAACTAAATCTCTGGTCAGTTTATCATAAATAGAATTCCCGCAATGTAAAGCAAGTTTTTTAAAAAAAATAAAGGTTTTAATACTTAAATTTAAGTGAGGAATAGAAAGAAATTTAGTGTCTATTATAACAGGAGTTAAAGTATTTTTTACATGGTTTAAGCGAGATTTGGTTCATTCTTTGAGTGGTAAAAATTGTGTCCGAATTCCCTTTATGTATATTATATATTAACTGAGGGTTGGTTTTTTTGCTTTTTGTTTTGTTGTTTTTTAAGTAGCACGGGGAATCTGTCTCTTGCGGCATTTGTGGGATCTAAGTTTTGGGTGGGAGCGGGATAAAGATGCAAGAAACAACGCGGGAGTGGGTGGGAGTGGGTATTGCAGGGTGGGATGGGAGCAGGATTAAAAAATAGTCTAATACAGGGCTCTGCCTCATTCTTTAGTGCAGTGGTCTCCAAACTGTGGGGTGTGCCCTCCCTAGGGGCATGCAGAGGAACTTTCAGGGCGGGGTGCAGCGGAGTCTGGGCCAACCCCCAGCTCAGGCCCCAGCTCCACTTCTGACCCCAGCCCCAGCCCTCGCCCCTGCCCTGACCCTGACCTGAGCCCATGGCTCCCGGCCACACCTCCGCTACTGACCACGGCCCCAGCTGTCAGCACCCACTGCATCCTAGCTGTGGCTCCGCTCCAGCTCCTGGCTGTGGCCCAGCCCCACCCCCAGCCTCAGCCCACGCCTCCCACCATGGCCCAGCCGCAGCTCCGCTCCCGGCCTTGGCCTTCAGCCTTATCCCAGCTCCTGGCTTCGGCCCCACTCCTGGCCTCAACAGTGGCTCCATTCCCAGCCGCGGCCCCAACCACAGCTCCTGCTCCGGCCTTGGTCCCTGGCCCCGACCATGGTCCTGTTCCTGGCCCTGGCTTCCGGGGGGGCACGGAGAGATTATATTACGGGTAAGGGTGGGCATGCCATAAAAAGTTGGGGGACCACTGCTTTAGACTCATGGAGACATTCTCATGGTCATATTTGGAGACTGAGTGTCTTTAATTTAGCGAATCTGATAAGGTGTAATGACTCTAGGGCATCCCTAACCCATTCAGACAGAAGCTAGTGTTTAACATAGCATGTACAGTGCAGCATTCTGAGTGACAGACATGGATGGTAATTGTTTCGGGATTCTTTTTGCAGAACTTGCTTAAGGCTGCCAGTGTCACTCAAAAGCAGCTGAACCTGGTGAAGCTCCATGAACAGTCCAAGAGGAACTTGGAAGAAGAAATTCAGAACTATAAGGATGAGGCTCAGAAGCAGAGGAAGATCATCTACCAGCTGGAAAAAGAGAGAGACCGTTATATCAATGAAGCTAGTGAACTCACCCAGAAGGTATGAGATGATTTGTGTACACACAAGATTCATCCATCTCTCTCTCTCTGCCTCTCAAAATTGGAGGGAGAGCAGATTCCGTTCCTGACATTTTAGATTTAGCTGATAGGTAGGATTGATCAATGGTCTGCAGAGAGTTTACAAACGTTTTAATAAAGCTGGTGGGTTTTAGACAGATCATTACACACAGGACTGTCTTGTACATTTGTACACCGTTCTAGGCTAGCATATATTTTTTTCTCCCCTATCGTCCATGTGTTTAAAAATAATTTTGGCCATGTCCATCCTCTGCCACATTTTCCTGACATTTTAACCAACTTCTCTTTGGCTCTGCTGCCTTGGTATTGCCCCAGATGGTGATCTTTACAAACTGATTATAGATTTATAGATTCCAAGGCGAGAAGGGACCATTGTTATCATTTAGTCCGATCTCCTATATAACAACAGACCAGAGAACTTCTCCAAAATAATTCCTAGAGCAGATATTTAGAAAAACATCCAATCTAATTTAAAACTTGTCAGTGATGGAGAATCCACCTTGACCCTTGGTAAATTGTTTCAGTGATTAATTACTTCCAGGTTACTATCTTCAGGGGCCTAGGTTCAAATCAAAGTTGCTCCTTCATGAAGACCTTCCTTTTTCCTGCTTAAGTCACTTCTCTTTCTCAGTGTATGAAGACACATTACTGTGTTTCTTCTCTGTCTGGGAGGTCCAGTGAATGTGTCCATAGTGATTCTCAAGGCCAGGTATGCAAGGTTGCAGTGATATGCCAGGCAAGGCCACTGGGATCTGTGGGTACGTCTACCAGGGCCGGCTCCAGGCACCAGCCTACCAAGCATGTGCTTGGGTGGCACCTGGAGGGGGGCGGCGCTCAGGGTTGGGTTTTTTTTGTTTTTTTTAAACATACTGGGGCTGTTGGGGACCTGCAGGGATCAGTTCTGGGTTGCAACCCACTTTGGGGTCCCAACCCACAGTTTTAGAACTGCTGTTTCACAGTTTGAGAACTGCTGTTTTAGATCATTGAAGATTTCCTGGTTAAGCCAGGGTGTTCTCTTGCCATACTTCCTATCTTTCCTGTGCAGTGGGATAGTTTGATTTTGTGCCCTTAATAATGTCTCTCTGAAAAACTGCCAACTGTCTTCAATTGTTTTTCTCCTTAGACTTGCTTCCCATGGGATCTTACCTATCAACTCCCTGAGTTTGTTAACGTCTGCCTTCTGGAAATCCATTGTCTTTATTTTGCTGCTCTCCCTCCTACCATTCCTTAGAATCATGAACTCTCTCATTTCCCTCTTTCAAATTCTCAACCAGTTCCTCCAAAATTAAAATCAAATCTAGAACAGCCTCTCCCCTTGTAACTTTCTCCACCTTCTGAAATAAAAAATTGTCTCCAATACGTTCCAAAAACTTGTTGGATAATCTGTGCCCTTCTGTGTTATTTTCCCAACAGGTGTCGGGGAATTGAAGTCCCCCATCACCACCAAGTCCTGTGCTTTGGATGATTTTGTTAGTTGTTTAAAAAAAGCCTCATCCACCTCTTCTTCCTGGGTAGGTGGTCTGTAGTAGACCCCCTACCATGACATCACCCTTGTTTTTTACCCCTTTTATATTTATCCAGAGACTTTCAACAAGTCTGTCTCCTATGTCCATCTCAACCTCAGTCCAAGTGTGTACATTTTTAATATATAAGGCAACACCTCCTCCCTTTTTTCCCTGCCTGTCCTCCTGAGCAAGCTTTATCCCTCTGTATCGCTTTATTTCATATGGTGTGCTGAGGAACATGATGACATGTTCCATTAATTGCTGAAGATCACATTGGAGAGCTCTCCAAGAAGCTCATTGATTTACTGGGAAGCTAGCCTTCAAGCTGTTTCAACTCACAAGTTATTTGCTACCTTCTTACTTTATAATTACCTCTTACAAATTCATATGTTCAGTGGCTTTTAAATCATCTTTGAATGATACATACCCTCTTGTCTGGCTTACTTCATATCATTTCTTTGGAATAATATTCCATTTAAGTGAGATTTCTCTTTATTCCAAAGTCACATTTTACATTCCCCTCCCCCCCCCACCCACTGCATCTAATCATGTAGCTATGAGTTAGGATCATTATAAAGTACGGTCAAGCTGTAAATCACAGAAATCAGAACGGCAAGGGTCTTGCTGTAGAACTATGCATTTCTGATTAGGGCTATGCACATTTTTTTGTACCTAAGGTGAAAAGGATGAATGCTGGAGAGTTTTCTGACTTTTCCACTTCGGGTGCAACATTTTTGGCATTTAATCCGAAAGTTCCATAACCCTTTTACCCTAACACCTGTGCACCTGATGCAATGTGGTGGGAGGTGAAGTCCTTGCAGGTGTAGGCCACTCCTAAAACTCCCATTCAAGTGCTCTCAGAGCCTGTCAGACAACAACCCATGGCAAAGTGTGGCCAATGGAATATTGGCCTCACTGTTGCAGAGCCTCAGGAAATCGGGCGCTAGGGCTGTTTGTGTAATGGTGCCTGTGTTGTGTTTACCCATTTACAGGGGATTTTTATGCTTATTTGATTCACTAAGGGGCAAATCTAGACTCACCTTGCAGCTGCAGAGATCCCTGAGCACATCAGGACTGGCAAGCAGAGCAAGACGCTGGGACCAGCGCAGAGCGTCACACCCTGTGTGTGCTCCTCAGAGGCTCCCTGTGCTCGGCTGCTCTTTCCTTTTTGAGGGCAGGCCTCTGGGCGAGGCTGGTGTATCTGTGATTGTGCAAATCTCTCTGCTAACCATTCCCCTTTGCACAGTAACCTGTGGGGGAGCGGCAGCCCTTACACTGCAATAGAGGAGCCTTATGTCAACTTGGGGGAAGATTCTGTGACAGCCAGGGCTCTGCACCAATCAGTAGGATAGCCAGACTCCCAGGGTCACATGACTGCTGTGCTCCTGAGGGACTCTAGGAATGCCTGTCTGATGCCCCGCGCCTTCCAGAGCTCCTGCTGGGGCCTGCAGTGCCACATTTCAGAGTTGCAGCCGTGTTAGTCTGTATCCGCAAAAAGAACAGGACTTGTGACACCTTAGAGACTAACACATTTATTTGAGCATAAGCTTTCGTGGGCTACAGCCCACTTCTTCATCCGAAGAATGTCATGCCCCATAAAACTGGGTGTGGCACAAGATGCAAAATTGCGTCAGTATAACTGCGCATGTTATGACTTAAAGGCAAATGCCTAACTGTCCTTCTCAACAATTTCCAGCCTGTTCACGCCCCAAACCTGCAGGCCCTGGGGCAGGGGCTTAACACCCTCCCTGGGTTTTGCTCCCCACCCCCCCCGCCCTGGGTCCTGCCCCCAGGGAGCGCGGGGCTGCTCCGTCCCCTAGGAATCCTCGCCTGCTGAGCCACCTCTCTGGCCGGGTTCACTCAGGCCCCTGCAGTCAGCTTCCCTGGGCCCTAGTGGGCAATGCATCCTTAGGGCTTTACCCCTTCCTGCCCGCGCTGTAGCTGGGGGACAGGAGGCAGCTGGGTTATTATGTCAGTGGGCAGCTGGATTATGTCAGTGGCCAGCAGCAGCTGCAAGGTGTTAGCTGCCTTTTGACACTGTGAGGGCAGGAAGGGACAAGCTGCTTCCAGCCTCAGGGAATGGGAGCGGGAGGGGGGAAGGGAAAGAGATGAGATCTGCAAAGACACGGGCCAGGTCATCCCTCCCCCCGCGAAGATGGAAGAGCTCCCTTCCCTTCCCTCCTGCACTGTGCAGAAAGGTGGCTGCTGGCCACATCATGGTGTGAATCCTGGCAGAAATCTGGGGAGGGGGAGGGTGTGAGCCTGCATGTCCCTCACGTGTTGCGTTGGGAAGATGAGGCGCCGGGTACCAGGAGAGGCAGGTCCATCCTGGGGGCCAAGCCAGGCATGGAGGGTGGAGAGCGCTGGGCAGGGAGGGTTGGGTGGGTCAGTCGGTCACCCCCCCCTCTGTGGGAGAGGTGTATGAGAGTGTGTGTGTGTCACCCCTCCCCGTGTGAACCCTAAAGACTTAAACATAAGAAGGCAAATAAAAAGAATCCAGCTATTCAGTATTTCTTTTTAACAGGGGCTCAGTCAACTCGATGTTAATTTGAATGTTTGTACTGCCTAGTTTTGATTGATTGCTGTTGAACTTGCTTGAATACGAGTAATTTTACCGGGTGTCCCCTATTCAGCATAGAGAAATATGGTCACTCTAGCTTCGATGGTATGTAAATGAATAGGATTGTGAACTCCCCCTGAAAGTTGCTGGGAGCCTTCAACCCTGTTAGATTTGAGGGCACTCAGCCCCCCACAGGATCAGTCCCTGGGTCACATCATACGTGCCTTTTTTGTATTTGTAAAGGGGAATTGTTTACGTTTCATCACTTCAGAAAAGGCGTAGTCAGCGTAAAAACCACGAGTACCAACTTGGAAAACTTAGTCCAGAAGTTTATTACACGTCTGTTGTATCAAATACAAGTTAAAGAGTTACAAATGCAGTGACCTACTTTCAACTCCTGCTTCAGCTTATATAGTCACTGGGCTACGCTGCAGATTTTAAACACTCTTTATTGATTTTATCTCACTCTTATTACTATTGGCAGATTGTTTTAACACAAAAAGAAAAGGCAGGAGTAGATTATAAACTGGGACTCTGCTTTCATATTGCATTGCAAGCTGTTTCTGGGCTCCTCTGCAGTCAGCTACAAATGTGCTGGAACTCCATCCCCATTGCTGGGTTAAAACTTTCTATATTTAGATACTCTCAGGCTCCAGCGTTGGGTGAAGTTGTCTAGTAGAGTCATCAATTAATTAAGCTCTTGCCCCATAGCCAGCCCCCTAAAGACCTTACAGTACATCGGCTCTGCTATCACATTCACAGAAGGGGACAACTATGCTAACTGCTAACGTTGCTGTTATTGCATGTCTGTTCCAAACATTTTTATATTTCTTCCTGTGAATGTATATGAATATAAATTCTACTGGTACTTGAACCATTACCTTCAAAGAATGGAGATGAGACACTTGGGTCTGAATTGCAATTGTAATTCAGCGTTTATTCTTCCTGTGTGTCTATGCATAAAACTGTTTTGCTCATTTGTTTTTATACCTCGTGATATTTCTGCTCATTTTAAGGGTGGAATTCTTATCCCCACCTGCACGATGAAACCAAAACCAGATATTCCTCAATTTGTGCCCCGGCCTGTTTTTAATGTTCTTTCTGTGCAATATTTGGTGCATTCTGGTTGAATATCCATACAATACTGCTTGTTTATGCTCATCTGTTATGAAGTCTGCGCCAGCAGGTTGAGGGGGCTTATTTTTGATAGAGCATCACTAAAAAGTCCAGCAAAATGAGCAGGCAAACCATTTTTGTTGTTTCTTCTTTAACATGGTACTTGTCATTCCCCTTGAAGTGATATGCCACCAATACTTTAACAAGGATCTCCCTCGCAATTCTCCATCCCCATTGGCAATGAATGTGATCGTCCATGGGCAAAATGTTCCTTATCAAAATCCATCCATTACCATCCGTCTCCATACTTCACCATTCCCAGCCCCTCAGAATGCTACTATGGTGGCTTCTTACCTGGCTGTTTAGTTGTAAATATAGTTGCTTAACTCCCTTATTATTGTAATTATCCATCAAACATTTGGGATCAGATATTAGTTCAAACAACATTTAACTGTAAGGAAGGAAGAGAGACTGAAACCTCTTGTCCTTCACAGTGATCTATTTGCAATTGTAACCTGTTGGAATATATTATACATATTCTCTTTCTGTCTCTCTCCCTAATGCGTAGCTAGTAAACATCTGAAATCTGGCCTTGGCTTTCTAAAAAAACGAATGCTTTTCCTATGAATGCTGCTTTGTGTTGATCTGACCTTAAAGTGTGTATGTATTCTGCCTTTGTGTCTGAGCCAAAGCCTAGGCATCAGGTAAAAATAAAATGTTCCCCCAAATCAGCAACTCAGAAAGGTTAAATTTCCCACTTGGACCAAACTAATCGTGGCTGTAGGCATAGATTCTTATTACAGGGATTTGCAGCTGCCACCTTAGATAAAAATCACAAAGTTTTGTCCCATCCTGAGAATCATAGGAAGATGGTTTAATCATGTTCATTTCCTATTTTCCGCTCCAGGTCCTCCAGCACATGGAAGATATCAAAGTGCGGGAAATGCAGATCTTTGACTACAAGAAGAAGATAGCAGAGGCTGAGACTAAATTAAAACAGCAACAGAATCTGTATGAAGCCGTGAGATCAGACAGGAACCTATACAGTAAAAATCTGATTGAAGCTCAGGTACAAGAATACATTTTTTACTCTGTGATTTTCGCTTGTTTTTTTTGGTTTTTGTTTTTGTTTTTTTAAGAAAATCATTCTCATTTATACTTTTGGAAAGGAAAGACAGATAAATAAAATCTGCACAGGTGATATGTGTGTGTATATATATATATATGTGTGTGTGTGTGTGTGTGTGTGTGTGTGTGTGTGTTGGGCATTAATTTTTTAGGTCATCTGCTAATCTGGACAGTTTGCATTTGGACTGAGAAGTAAAATTTGCAATCCTCGTGCGCAATGTCAGACTGCTCCCTGCTTTGCGTAAAGACCCTGGCACTTTGGAAAGAGATATTCATATCATATAGAGAAATTTTTCCCTTTTTTTCCTTCCTTCCCTCCCCTCTTCTCTGCTCTCTGTTAGGTTTGATATAAGCATATGGCAGACATGACATATGTGAAAATGAACCCCCCCACACACACACTCTCGCTGCTGTGACTCATGTATAAGAAAGCTGCAATGGAAGAAACACTTTTCAGGTGAGGTAGCATTTCCCCACATAACTAAATGTTTCCACCTGGCTTGTGAATTTCAGGCACTGTCATTCCCCTCAGATTACAATCCTCCACCTTTTCCCTGTGAATCCCTCCAGCAATACTGGAGGAAAGGTAAAGATCACTTGTATAAAAATATACTGCATTATTCAACAGTAATGGCCTAAACACTACAGAAATCCCATAGTAAACTGCAGAGTCTAGGATGTGGATGACTGTGGTTCAGAGCCTTGGGGTATTTGAGAGAACAAGGAAATATAAGATAAACATATAGACCACACTGAACATTTATAATCTGCCCTGAGTAAGGGGTGGCATGTAGCTGCATTACTCTAGGAGCAGACCAGAGAATGAGCTGTGCCAGAGAGTTACTGTTCCTACTTGTTCCCCACTATGGGGATGTCTGCACTATATAGGGGGTGCCACTGCAGGTTGTGTAGACATACCTGAGCTAGCTTTGATCTAGCTAGCTAAGGTACCAGAGCGGTGAAGCTCTGGCAGCGCTGGCTTCAGTGCAGACTAGCTGCCCGAGTAATTACTCAGGGTTTTGGGTGGGCTTGTACGGCCCACGCTGAAGCCTGTACCACCATGGCTTCGGTGCTATTGATACTCAAACTAGCTAGATTAAAGCTAGCTCAGGTATGTCTACATGACCTGCTATCATGGCCCATGGTTTCAGTGTAGAACTACCCCAAGTCTGGGGAGGAGTAAGTTACTTCACCCCTTAGCGTGGAGCAGCTTACTTGCTCCCTCTGTGCATCCTACCAGCAACTCTGGCCACCAATGAGCAGAGGTGTATCCAAGACTCCTGTGACTCCCAAGCTCTCTCTGACCCTTGCTCACAGCCAGATGTTTCAGACAAATAGCCCCTGCTCTCCCCACTGCAGCTGGAGTCACTATCTTAGCAGAGCTGGTCAGGAGAGTAATGGGAGGGGGCTGCTCTCCTGTACTTCCTCTCTGTGGCCAGGTAAGGGCTGTGACAACATAACACAGAGTAATTGAGGATGAGTAGCTAACGTTCCTGTGAATGTTTGCGTGTGTGAAGCATCAGCAGAAATAAGGGTCAAGCATGTCATCGTCATTGTGGCAGATCCCAAAGGGATGTGGCCTCCTGGCAGATCAAGTGGATTGATTCTAGCTAGGTCCTTAAGGTGGTCTGGCTGGACATTCAGATTTTGTCCATCCCTGGCAATCTTGTTGTGACACTGAAGCTTTGGCAACCTCGTGATTGCCAGCTGGGCAGCGGCATTTCTTGCAATGACAGTGCCTGAAATTCACATGCTTCATAACTCATTGGTCCTCCATCCTAATACATGTTCATACCAAGAAAGGCACCAAAACCAGGTGAAGCATGTAGAGAACACTAACTTACTTTCCTTTTATAATCGTTAAAGATACAGTATCAATTTAGAACACAAACTGCTTGCACCCTCCTACAGAATTGGCAGATACACTCTGAGTTAGGCTAACGCATTAAACTCTTTAGCTAACTAAGGACATCTCAGTTGGAGGCCCTGGCATGGTGTATGTATATATTCAGCCCACACAAAGATCTGTGCAGAATACTACCTACTACAGAGGCCATTAATTTACCCTTTAATGGATTATTTGATTTATAATTTGTGCTAGCTGACAGCTCTGTGTGTCAGAAGACTGCTGAGGGTAAAACATCCTTTTGGTTATAATCACACTGTACTGTATGTGGCAATAAAAAAAACAGTAATTCATAGTTCAGTAACAAGCCAGCCAGCCATGGAGAAAAAATGGCTTGGCTTAAAAACTATGCAAAATAGTAATTCCTCTTGGGAAGTAATATAAATTGGCAAAAGGTTGTTTAGCTAGAAGAAAGCTAGCAGTAGATATTTTTGGATCGTTTAATAATGAAAGGCTCTCCGTTAACCTGTCCAGGTCACGTTGCTTCTGCTCTCCAGGACATCCTAATCTCCAACTCAGTAAAATCTCTTGGCAAGGGACTCCTTGGCTGGGTTTGAAAGCATGCTTTCAGCTTTGGGGTTCTTTCCGACATTGGGAACATTTATTCCTTTACTTAAATTAAACTAATCCTGTTCTTTGCAAAAATCACAGGACCCTTCATGTCCCCTTCCACATACAAAGATAGCAGTGTATTTGGGTATGTATCTGTGCTTCAGATTTTAAAATATCTGGTCTGCTTCCAGAGTGTGGGAGAGATTTATAGGCGGCTGTCTAGCAGACTTTTGAATTTAATTTTCTCCTGTTACATTTACATGAGTAATTGTGTGTATATGCACATGGGCAGTTCTAGTGGCAAAGGTTACATCATTGTCAGGGTCATTTAATTGACTTAGTACAAGAGCATTGGTCAGCAGTGTTTATGGAGCTGCAGTGTATTCCCAAATCCCTTACTGCACACTATTTCATGCATCTGCCAAATACATGTGTTGAATCCACTGATCTTCTTTTCATGTCACACTGTCACCAACTGGTCACTGCAATCATAAATCTACTGTATGTGCCTCAATGTTATTTGTGAAAAGTGCCGTGACCCATCGTCAGTCTCATTTGATTAACTTTGTCAGTTTCAGTACTCTGGCCAGAGGCTTGGAGTTGGAGAACTGCTGTGTTAAGTGTCTTATGCAAAAATATTTCACTTATCTACCAAGTGGGGAATCTGCACGTATTGAATGTACTGTCCTCCAATTTTCTGTCACCATTCCTCACAGTCACTATCAGTCACAAACAAAAGCAGCCTCCCAATGTTGTACTAGCAGGTGACTCTCTGGATATAGGACCATATACGCACGTGTATAGAAGTGATTCCATAGGTTAGTTATCCACGGTCACCTGATCTCTCTGCCATGCTATCTAACTTGACTTCAAACACTTTGCTGTATGTTCTGGGGCTGGCACATGTAAAAAATGTCTTCAGCCAAGGGACTTTTCTACCCCTTAACGCCCTCAGTCCCACACAATCAAAGCCTGCATATAAGAGTTGGCTGGCTGACCACTTCTGATGTGTATATGGGTATTTGTGAAGGATTATGCTCATTTGCATACAGAGACATGCCTGGGCACATGAGTACTTTCATTTGGAAAAATAATAGCTCCCTCCCAATATTTGTACAAACAAAGCACAGTTGTACAAGTGTTTGTTGAAGAGCAAGCCAATAAAGTCATGAAAATGGATAGGATCACAGTTGCATTATTCACTTATATCCACTGCTAGGTCCTATGATGTGTCCAGCACTCTAAATAAGGTGGCTTACCGGCTTATTGTTGTTGTCAATGGCCTTTTAACAGTCTGATTACTGCAATATCATGCCAGCATAAACATCAAATGACCATGTAATGGAATTGTTTTTCTTTGCTAACGTTCAAAGTAACGTCTTCTATGCACAGCTTAGTAGGATAAGGATTTGGCTGGGAGTTTTCTCCTCTCAGGTGCTGTGGTTTAATGTCAAGTGTCAATGTATCTTGAACTTCCAGGCACAAAATACTTGAATTCTCTTCTATCCCTTTTTAGAATCATAGAAATGTGGGGCTGCCAGGCCCCTCGAGAGGTTACCTAGTCACCCCCCTGTGCCGATGCAGGATTAAGTATACCTATCTCACCCTGACAGATGTTTGATGAACATCTATTTTGTCCCATTAGGACGAGATCACTGAAATGAAGAAAAAACTGAAGATCATGACACATCAGGTTGATCAGCTTAAAGAAGAGATCACAGCCAAAGAGGCAGCTCTTGTGAAAGTACATATGGAACATCAACGAATAGAAAAGGAAAAGGAAGCTCTGAAGGTAAGGCACCTTAGTTGTGGGGTGTTTGCCAGGACTCATTAGGAAGGAAAGGACATGGTTTCAAAGGTTCTTTCATATTCCCTGGCCCATAGTACTTTGATGAACTCTTTAAGAACTATTCTGTATTTGCAGTATAACTCTCAATGGCCTTTACAGGTATTATGTGTATGAGTCTACCATGTATGTGATGGAAGAATAGATCCTTTTGTTTCTCTGCACCTAAAATTGTAGTCGTCAGATTCCTAGATTACCTGTTGAAAGCTTAAATTCTCCCTCTCTTTCAATACCCCAAACTGTGCTCACAAATATAGGGTTTCGTGGGTGTGCTGATTGCATCATTCTCTGTATAGTTGGCCCTTAGAATAGGAATTATTATTATAGAATTATTATTATCATAGAATTATGAATTATTTGGGGAAGTTCTCTGGCCTGTGTTATACAAGAGGATAAGGCTAAATAATCACAGTGGTCCCTTCTGGGCTTGGAATCTGACCCTGTGATTACAAGTTTTGTTTCCTTTAATTTTTGTGTCTGTAGTTTTAAGTGCTAACACAGTACTACCACAGTTCTCAGTCCTGTATTGCTGTGTAACTAGCAAGCACAAGCCTTCAGAGAATCAGGTAGTATCTTACAGTAGCTCCCTCTGCTCAGAAAGAAACTTCACTATTGTGTGTATCTGTGTTAAATCAAAGGAAGGTGGCCCAGCGATCTCTGGTTCTTTTTCTCAGCATTCTCTGTAACCCCTCCTTGGATATATTATTACGTGTGTGTTGACAGCTCAACCCAATTTGCTCCTCTTTCCCAAGTCTGAGAGTTAGAGAAACAGTATCCATAGCAGGTCATTTTTCTCTTCACTTAGTCCCATAAAAAATCCCTTGCCATTTTCCACAGTGCTTTCTTTTTGTCAATGTCTCAGTATGGTCCAATGACTCCTTAGGTTTTCAGCCAATGTCAGCACATTACAGTTATGACAGGATGTCAATAGAACTGTATAAAAAGGTGATTCTGTCTCGGTTCTGTCTCAGAGTTGTTATATCAGTTACAGAGAAGCCAAACAGCACCTAATATTCTGTGGGCAGGATTCTGCCTTAACCAGTTCTCAGGCCTGTCTTGTCACCTCAGAATCATCCACCATCAGTTTGACAGCAATTTGATTGCTACACTGTTTTACCTACTCAGTTATTCACTCACAAGTATGTCCATGGGCTAGCATCATGTTAGTGACTGGCTTTGGGGCATTGTGGCTTTTTTCACCTACGTGTGTCTGCTGAATGCAAAGGTAGAGAACGGTGAGAGGAATAACTGACATAGGCACAAAAGAGCCCAATTATTCTTGTGGCATGAAGGCTTCAATTTGTTCTGTTTGCACTGATGTGAAGAAAGCAGGCTTTGACTGAAAAATCAGCTTAAGTGAAATTGCATCCGAAGAAGTGGGCTGTAGTCCACGAAAGCTTATGCTCTAATAAATTTGTTAGTCTCTAAGGTGCCACAAGTACTCCTGTTCTTC